AACTCAGATCCTTTGACTTCCCCCCATTCCCTCCCCTGGTTCTTTTGTATTATCTTATATTGTACATGTCTATAATTTCCTTATCCTTAATTGTTCCCAATTTTCAACATTGTCCTTAATATTACAAGTGGTGTGGGGTTTTTTTTTGTAAAACCTGTTATTGTGTTAATATCCTTACAATGCTTTTGTAAATATGCAATAAACATTTTTCATTCTTTTTTATATATTTGTTGTTTTCTTGATTTCTTAGTTTTCTGATTAATTTAGCCATTTCAGCATATGCCATTAATTTAAGTTGCCAATCTTTTTTGGTTGCGACTTGTTCTTCTTTCCAGTGTTGGGCTATCTATGTCCGTGAGGCTGTTGTTGTGTACATAAACAGATTTTTGTATTCTTTCAGTATATCCATTCCAGTTATACCTATTAAGAAAGCTTCTGGTTTTTGGGTTGAATTTCTGCGATAAAGATGAATGTATTGTCTAAGTTGTTATTTTTGTTCCAAGTACTTCTTATCATTGAGAAGTTGAATTGTTTTAAGGAATGGCAAAAGGTATTATCTAAATTTATCTGGCAGGGGGGGAAACCCAGAATTAAGTTTAAATTATTAACAGATGTGAAAGAGAGAGGGGGTTTCTCCCTGCCAGATTTAAGGATCTATTTTGAAGCTGCAGCCTTTTGCTGGTTGAAAGAATGTATTTTATTGGAAGATACAGATGTTCTATATTTGGAAGGCTTCAAATAATGTATTTGGTTGGCATGCATATTTATGGTATGACAAGATAAAAGCTCACAAAGGATTTAAAAATCATATAATTAGAAAATCTTTGTACAATGTTTGGATAAGATACAGGGATTTGTTAGAAAGGAAAACACCCAGGTGGATATCACCATTGGAAGCTAAGACCCATAAAAGGTTGACTATGAAAGCCACGTAGTTAAAGTATAATAATATTTTGATGGAAGTAGGGGACCAGTTTAGATTAAAACCTTATGATCAGTTGAAAGATAAAGTAGATGATTGGTTCCATGACATCCAGATAAATGAAGTGTTTAAAATGGATAAGAAAATTGGTTTTCAAACAGAGAAATCCAAACTGGAAACGGAATTCCTAGATACAAAAACAAAAAAAAACCTATCTAAGATGTATCATTTATTGCTGGAATGGCATACGAAAGATGAACAAGTGAAATCTGTAATTATTGAATGGGCCAGGGATGTGGGGCTCAATATCATGATGGTGGATTGGGAGAAATTGTGGAAAAAGGGAATCAAATTTACAGCTTGTAATGTATTAAGAGAAAATTTGATGAAAATGATGTACAGATGGTATTTAACACCAGTGAAGTTAGCAAAAATGTATCATACTCATGATAATAAATGCTGGAAATGTAGAGAAAAAGAAGGAACCTTTTACCACATGTGGTGGACATACCCCAAGATAAAAGACTTCTGTAAAAGGATTTATAATGAATTGAAAAAAGTGTTGAAAAACACATTTATTTAAAAACTAGAAGCCTTTTTACTTGGTATAGTGGGGGGTGAAATCCCCCAAAAGGATGTTACTTTTTTTCTGTATGCCACAACAGCTCTGAGAATATTGTTAGTGAAGAATTGGCAGAAACAAGGTTTACCAACTAGCGAAGAATGGCAGATGAAGATGATGGACTATATGGAACTTGCTGAACTGACCGGGAGACTCCGAGACCAGAGAGAAGAAACGGTGGAAGAAGACTGGAAGAAGTTTAAGAAATATTTGAAAAAATATGTTAATATTTAAACCTTAGAATAGCTTTGGAAGTGGATATAGGCTGTAGGGTTAGAAGTAGAAGATAGGGTATTTTAAAATAGTATTATTTGTAAGTGATAAAATGTGAAGTTATTTTAAGTGTGATTTAAAAAGAAATTATGATATATGTAAACTGCTAAAGATGAAATAAAATGAAAATCAGATTGGTGGGACTTGGGGAAGCCCACTTAACAATGTTTAGAAAAATAAGGATATAACAAGAATTTGTTCGTATTGTTTGTTTTCTGTTTATGTTGTTCATTTGTGAGCATTTGTGAATTACCGGTATTATTTTTTTGAAAAAACAAAAACGCTGTTTATAGGGAGGTGTGCGTGTAAGGCTGGATCCAGGGACATGAAAACAAGATTCTGTTTGTGTTATTAAAACACAAATATTCTATTTGTGTTATAAAATGAATAAAAAAAATTTTGAAAGAAAGAAAGAAAGAAAGAAAGCTTCCAGTTATTAAACAAATGTTATTTTAAACTTTTTTTTAAATTCATTATAGATCACTTCCCCAAAACCTTTTATAAACTTTCATTGCCTCCACATATGGTAAAAAATACCCCCTGCTTTTTTACACTTCCAACACTTATTTTCTTTTCTTTTGTACATCTTTGATAGTTTAACCAGAGTTAAATACCATCTGTACATCATTTTCATATAACTCTCCTTAAGTGCCATAAATTTTATATCATTTTTCCATAAACTCTCCCAGTCTGTCATCTGTATATTATGTCCCACATCTTTTGCCTCTCAGTGTTTTTTTCTAGAAAAAGAGGGGTTGGAGCTCACCATAAACATCTTCTTGTTCTGTTAGAATGGCAATGGCACCCACATGAGAGGGGCCAGAGCTGAGCTCCAGTGAACTCTGGCTGAAAAAATGCCCTGTTAAATTCTTCAGAGGCGAAACCTCTTATCTAACAAATTGTCTGATTACAATAATGATTTTAGTTGTGCAATGTATATTATTTTCTTTTTATCCAATTTTATGTATTTTATATTTGTATTCCCTTCAGCTAAATCAATAAATAATAATTGCATCTGTATCCGAAAGAAACAGATCCGAGAACCAGCATTTTATTTTTCATAACCATTTATTTTGCATTATAATGATCATAATAAAACTTAACTATTTTTTAATGATACACTACAGAGTTCTTTGTATTTAGAATCCACAATCCCCACATTCTGACCCCCCTTTTCTCTGCTCTTGTTTCTCTTTACCTCCACCAAAAGCAAGCAAGCAAGAAACAGAGATCCAGAGTCCTAGATTTCACCACTAGGCCTCCAATTCCCCCTCATTGCCATGGATTTTGGAATACACGAGGAGGTCTACATTGTCCGATTTACCCTTCCTGTTCAGGCTGGTGTGAGATTCGTGAAGCGTTATAACAGCTTTCTTCATAAACTGAAAGAATAAACCTCCTAATTCCAATAAAAACTCTTCCGTTTTTCCGGATGGCACAGAAATTTGCTGTTGCACAACCTTGGAAAGTGAAATAGTTGGGGAAAAAGGTATCTGGAAAAAAGGAAAGAAGTGTTGACTTTAGTCCTTTACTAAAGGAACAGGAGATGGTGCCTGAGATGGTGAATGAGAATTTTAACACGTTAGTTATAAAAAGTGTATATTTAAGAAATCTGAAAACTATAATTTCATCAGAACATGACTATACAAAATTTTCAACATTAGGAATTCTGGTAAAAAAAATTACTGAGATGTAAACAAAAATGGCATTATACCCAAGGGAGTCACAAGACATGAAGGTTAGTAATAAACAGGTTATCTTTATAAAATATAATGAAATTAGAGGTTCTGAAAACTGCCCTAATTAACTTTGTTAACAAAATCAAATTCTTGTGGTCAGGTGATTTGCATTAAAATGCAAGGAATTCTATCCCTGCCATCTCCTGGCCCTGTTAAAAGGCACATGCTGTGGCCACACAACAATATCTGAAAACAACACTCCCTTCCTTGTTTGTGAGCCTTGAGTGTATGATCCTGGCATGAGTCAACAGTGTGATGCAGCCACATAAAAAGCTGGGGTTGAACTCCATTGTCTCTCAGGACAGCTGGATGCCAACTGAGGCTCCCTCATTGTCCCAAACTATGACCTAAGCAACCAAAGAATCCTCCTTTTATTTTACCATATCTATTTTCATGTTAAACACATCTAACATGAAGTCGGAGAAAGGGGGGGGGGGTCCCAAGAGCAGATCAGGAACTCCTATCAGAATTCTTACTCAGCCCTCAAAAGTGAAACTAGCAAAGCCCAGGCTGCAAAGGGCAGGAGAAGGATGGGGGGGGGGATGTAGGGCAGAGGCAGCTCAAATGGCCTGGACTCTGCCTCTTCCTTCCTGGGGCAAATCAGCCCAAATACACCTCCCCTGTTCATTCCCAATTCCCTCTTCTTTTCAGGAAGGAAGGGTGTAGTAAATTTGGTCCCTCTCCAAAGAGCACTATTCCTCAAAAACGCTGTTGATAGGGAAGTGTGTATGTAAGGCTGGATCCAGGCACATGAATACAGTGATTCAGTTCAATGTGTTATGAAATCCCAATGCAGAAAGATAGGACTCCAAATCGACATCTGGTGTCACAGTGTAATAATGCATATAAAGCAATTTATCTTTTTCCGAATGTAGTTAAATTATAACTGCTAAATTTTGAAGCAGATTTTAGGAGGATACAGAGCACCTACAGGTAGAAGAGAGTGGAAATTCTGTTGCACAACTATAAATCCTTGCACTAATGGTCTGAGTTAGCCAGATACTGCTCATGGTCACAGAATTTAAGGAAATTTAATTACATTTCTTTTACATAATAAATATGCTTTTTGAGAAAGAGGCACACATTTTGTCCTACACTGCAATCCCAGTGGTGGAAAGATTCAGATGCAACTGGGGTGGAACAATGAATGCACATTCCTCTTTTGTTCAGGAGGGTATTTAATATAATCATCAGAATCTGAATTCTGCTTCTAGACAAGCAAGTGGCATTATGAAAGTTAAAGGGCAAAGTCCAGGCAGGCAAACAATAAGGAAGAGTGAAGAGTGGAGCCAGTAAGAGATATGATCCCTTTCACTTTTCCAGCAAAGTCCAATGGAAAAAGAGAGGAAGGAAGGGAGAGAAGGAGATCAGGACAGAGTCTGCATGACCCAGCCAATGACTAGGCCTTTTCACCTGACTGAATAGAAATGTTACCTGTCTTAAAAGCTCCTCTAAAATCAACACATTGGGTCTCATTCTCAAGGCAGTTGATGGTCGTCTCACTTTTACAGTTTTCCCTTCCTTTGGAGAAGCAGGATGGGCACTGCAGACCATTTTCAGCCAGCATGTTGCGATCAGGAACTTCCAAGATCAAATGTATGGTGAGCATCTTAATTACAATTACAATTTTCCTAGGACAGCTGCAAGTGTTCTTGGATGAAAACATGATCTAGAAATAATCTGGGTTAAGGGCTGCGCATGGGACAAAGTCACCATTGGTCTCTGAGATGAATGACCTTTACCCAAAGTGGGGTGGGAGAGTGCGAACTTTATTTTCCTTTTTATCTCTCTGAATGTATTCATGCCATTGATTATGGTGTAGTGTCTCTGAAAATATAGGCTCTTAGTTCCCCATTTTTGTACAGAGATTCTATCTCTCTTCCGCTCTTCAGCAATGAGCTATTTGAGTGTTTCTGTGAACTGCCCTGAGACACCCAGGTACAGGGTGGTACATAAATTCAATAAATTCAATAAATAAATTTTGGAGAATGCTGTAAGGTAGGGTCTTATCTTTGCACCATTTTAACTGCTGGCCAAGGTAGTGCTTGCCAATTAAAAGACAGAGAAGAACTAGCTGAAGGGTGATTCAGGAGGACACTTGGATAAGATAGGTGGGTTGTAAGGTCCATGTTTGAAACAGCCAATGGAAAGTGGACTTGAAGGGACCATAAACTATTCATGAGCTGTTCAGGAGCTTAGGTATCGAATTATATATCGGATGGTCCGCCCCCGCCACTTAATGGATCCAAATGGTTTCCAGAGAGTGGTAGGGGATGCTTTATCCCATGTTGATGGCCTTTCAGCCGATTCCCTGGTGGCCCGCTGGAATGTGGAGTTAACCCGAGCTATTGACTGTTTGGCTCCGAAGCGCCCTCTCCGATTGCATGGAGCCCGGACAGCCCCGTGGTTTTCCACGGATCTGAGGGCAATGAAACAATCGTTGAGACGGCTAGAGCGCCGGTGGTGGATAACTCATTCCAAATCTGACTGGACACAGGTTAGAGCTCAACGTCGAGCCTACCAAGTGGCGATAGCAACGGCGAAGAACACTTTCTTCGCCGCCTCTATTGCATCTGCAGAAAACAGCAGCAGGAGACTTTTTCAGGTGGTTCACAATTTAGCGGAACCACCTGCGACGTCTGGGCCCAGTACGGGCCACATGATCTCCTGCAATGATTTTGCAAAGTTTTTTGCAGATAAAATCACTCAGATTCGGGAAGAAGTAGACTCCACTGTGGGAACAGGGCCAGGGCGGGAGAGTGCTAGAGTCCTGTCTAGTCAAGTTGCATGGGATCAATTCCAACCTGTTACCTCCGAGGATGTGGACAGGCTGCTTGGACGAGTGAAGCCAACCACCTGTCTCCTGGATCCTTGCCCATCCTGGCTTATAAAAGCTAGCCGGGAAGGACTGGGCGATGGGCTTCGTGGGGTGGTGAATGCGTCCCTCCGTGAGGGAGCCTTCCCAGACCCGCTGAAAGAGGAGGTTATTAAACCGCTTCTTAAAAAACCATCTTTAGATGCGGCCACGATGGCCAATTATCGCCCAGTCTCAAATCTTCCATTCTTGGGCAAGGTGATTGAGCGAGTGGTTGCTGAACAACTCCAGGCACGCCTGGAAGAAGCGGACCATTTGGATCCCTTCCAGTCAGGATTCAGGCCTCATCATGGGACTGAAACTGCCTTGGTCACACTGGTTGATGATCTCCGGCGGGCTAGGGACAAAGGTGAGAGCTGTTTCCTAGTTCTGCTGGATCTCTCAGCGGCATTTGATACCATCGACCATAACATCCTTCTGGACCGTCTTGAGGGGCTGGGAGCTGGGGGCACTGTCATACAGTGGTTCCGCTCCTTCCTCCTGGGCCGTGTTCAGAAAGTGGTGGTGGGAGATGAGTGTTCAGACCTCTGGGCTCTCACTTGTGGGGTGCCTCAGGGTTCTGTCCTCTCCCCCATGCTTTTCAACATTTACATGCAGCCGCTGGGAGAGATCATCAGGAGGTTTGGGCTGGGTGTTCATCACTATGCGGATGATACCCAGCTCTACCTCTCTTTTAAATCAGAACCAGTGAAGGCGGTGAAGGTCCTGTGTGAGTGTCTGGAGGTGGTTGGAGGATGGATGGCGGCTGACAGATTGAGGTTGAATCCTGACAAGACAGAAGTACTGTTTTTGGGGGACAGGAGGCGGGCAGGTGCGGAGGATTCCCTGGTCCTGAATGGGGTAACTGTGCCCCTGAAGGACCAGGTGCGCAGCCTGGGAGTCATTTTGGACTCACAGCTGTCCATGGAGGCACAGGTCAAATCTGTATCCAGGGCAGCTGTTTACCAGCTCCATCTGGTACGTAGCCTGAGACCCTATGTGCCTGCAGACTGTCTCGCCAGAGTGGTGCATGCTCTGGTTATCTCCCGCTTGGACTACTGCAATGAGCTCTACGTGGGGCTACCTTTGAAGGTGACCCGGAAACAACAACTAATCCAGAATGCAGCAGCTAGACTGGTGACTGGGAGCGGCCGCCGAGACCATATAACACCGGTCTTGAAAGACCTACATTGGCTCCCAGTACGTTTCCGAGCACAATTCAAAGTGTTGGTGCTGACCTTTAAAGCCCTAAACGGCCTCGGTCCAGTATACCTGAAGGAGTGTCTCCACCCCCATCGTTCTGCCCGGACACTGAGGTCCAACTCCGAGGGCCTTCTGGCGGTTCCCTCACTGCGAGAGGCCAAGTTACAGGGAACCAGGCAGAGGGCCTTCTCGGTAGTGGCGCCCGCCCTGTGGAACGCCCTCCCATCAGATGTCAAAGCGACAAACAACTACCTGACATTCAGAAGACATCTTAAGGCAGCCCTGTTCAGGGAAGTTTTTAATATGTGACATTTTAGTGTATTTTTCATCTTTGTTGGAAGCCACCCAGAGTGGCTGGGAAAACCCAGCCAGATGGGCGGGGTACAAATAATAAATTATTATTATTATTATTATTATTATTATTATTATTATTATCCTTCATGGTACTGCTTCAAGGGACAGGAAGGAGAGGCCTGGCTGGAAAGGCAACCCATCCCTTCTCAGGCAGAGACAAAGCTGCCTAGTAGGTCCTCTTTTTCACAGTTTTCTCCTCATGCCTGCCTCTCCGTCCTGCCTCATTCTCCATACCTTGAGAGCCCCTAATAGTCCTGAGCTGCTCAACCCAACCTGTAGCCATCTGGGGCTGTCTCACCCCATCTGAACGAGGCACAGGTCCTCTGAGTAATGCTGATTGGCTAAGGATCCAAGCCTTGGAGAAACCCAGTGCACAGCGCTAACATGTTAATGATTCTACAATGATCCAGAAACTTACGGCTGAGAGTTGCATTGTTACACAGGTCAGTGTTGCAGCATTGCATCTTCATCTCAAAGAATTTACCATCCACTGCAGTGAAGCTGTAATCGCCTGAGAAACAGTATCTGGATGACAAACAAGTATTCTCAATTTGCACTTCAGGTTTAACTGTGAAAAAGAATTTTAAAGAACTATCAGGATCTGGGGGGAAATGCAGTCCATTGCTCCTAAAGCACATTCATTATAATTGTTCCAATTTTCTGTGTTGCCTGAATCAGGACCTTTTCAAAGTAACAATATGGAAAGTATTATTCATTTTTTATTTTTTAAAAAATGATATTTATTAAAGTTTCAATAAAAGATTAAACATAAAACATAAAAAAGAAATACACAATTCAAAAATACACAATACATAATCCAAAAGAAAAAAAAACAAGAAAAACAAAAAACAAAAAACAAAATAAAACAATTAAAAACAATATCACCTTTTCATCTCCATTTTTAAATTTACTTATTTTCTGGACCTCCTCGTACCTCCCTCTTTTGTATTCCAGTTCAAATTGTTTGTCCAGCAATTTCTTTCCCTCTTTTTTAATCCCAATCTTTACTCTTAATATAATATAATATTAAAATTTTACCTTTTAAAAACCAAATTTCCATTTCCTTAAACTTTTTTAATCCTAATCCTTAATCTTAATCTATCCATAACTTTAAATCCTGTACAGCTGGAAGCCACTTATTTTCAATGGAAAGTATCAGGACCTTTTCAAAGTAACAATATGGAAAGTATTATTCAATCTAAAATGAGGTGCTGTTTATTTATTTAAATGTGTGTGCACTGCTGTATCGTAAAAGGAAAGAGATATCAAAATGGTTTTTCAGTTATAATACATAAAAGATACAATAAGAACCAGTGAATTCTTAATGGAAAAGAAAGGTTTTCTGCAGGCATTTAAGTGTTCAGCTCTCAACCATAAGCAGTAGTCTCTTGCCTCCTTATTCCATAGAAGCAGCTTCTCTTTTAAGGTTCACAATTACCGTATTTTTCACTCTATAAGACGCACCAGACCATAAGATGCACCTAGTTTTTGGAGGAGGAAAACAAGAAAAAAAATATTCTGAATCCCAGAAGCCAGAACAGCAAGAGGGATCGCGAAAGCAGCGATCCCTCTTGCTGTTCTGGCTTCTGGGATAGCTGTGCAGCCTGCATTCGCTGCATAAGACGCGCACACATTTCCCCCTACTTTTTAGGAGGGAAAAAGTGAGTCTTATAGAGCAAAAAATACAGTAATTTGCAAAATGCATTAAATTTGGAATTTATGCAGAACTTCATTTTAGGTCAAATTTGTTGCATGAAGAATCATGCCTATTTCTATACATCTGACAATACATCTGCCATACACTGCACTCTCTCTTCTAGTCAATCCTAACAGTTTGCAGGTTCAGGGCATGCTTCCCTGAACTCCCATTGTTGAACACTTGGCAAGACACTTGCATTGCACCAACCTTACTACCCCCTTGCCCCTCTCCCTCCAAGAATGTAGCAGTGATGTTGGAAGGGATGGTCAAGCAAGCACCATCCCACCCAGGATTGCCCCAAGGCATTTTGGCACTGAGGTGTACCACAAAATGGCACCTACTCCCTCCTGGGTAGAAGGGATGGGTGAATCAGGAGCAAGCAAAGGGATCGAATCAACCCTCAAGTGTGAAGCATGTTCATCTCTCTCCTGGTTCCTCAGCTTTATACAGTTTTCATACATCTGTAAAAGGACTCTCAATTTTAATGGCATTTACAGCAAAGGGGATATTCAGCTTATATTCCAGGCTTCTTGTCCTAGTTTGATAAGCAAAACTAAAGTGGAGTTCATTGGTTTGGGTCAATAGGTATTCCTGGTTGATGCAAATCAAGTTCTCCAAGCTTGGCGATCAGCAACCAAATTCAGCCACTGCTTGTGATAAGGTGATATTAGGTTCCCCATTTTCATATGCAAGCCATTAATTCCTTACTTCAGATGTTGTTGGACTGCATCTTCCATCATCCCTGACTTGTGGCCTGGCTAGCTGAAGCTGATGGGAGTTCTAATTCATCTACAACTGAAGTGTCACAGTTTCCTCACCTCACTTTTTTCATAGGTGAGTTCCTCCAGCATAGACTTCTATATGCTAATAGATCCATTAAAGTTCACCTATCTTAACCTGGGTCAAATCCAACAGCAAATGACAAAAAGACAGGTAAATCTTACCTATATTTGTACGCAGAACACTGGCAGAACAGGTATATATAACATTATTATTACAAATTGTTTCTGCATTGCTGTTATCTGTCATTCCAGTCCTGTTAAACTTATATTTGCACGTCAGAGATACTGCTGAGGACAGGAGCAAAAGATTCATGAATTGTCATCATCATCATCATCATCATCATCATCATCATCATTTGGTTTTCCTGTTTGCTTAATGAGACACACAGGAGGAGGTGATAGTATAATAAAACTTTAAAATAAAGTGTTCAATTTAATAAGCATTGTAATAGAAGAGAATGAAATGAAATGAAATGAGTAAAACACTCATTAATTAAAACTCTTGTAGCCATTGTTCAGAATGCTGGGTGAATTATTTGCAAGAAGTGGGGAGGTGTACCCTCCCTTCCCCACAGCCAACTTTCCCTCCCATCCAGACTCTCACTTAAAGACAATTTCTTCCCACTGTTTGGTCACAAGCTTAGATCTGAGCACAATTAAACTATGGAATTTTCTACAAGAGGCACTGAATGCCACCTATTTCAATGACTTTTAAAGAGGATTCAATAAATTGATGGAGAATAAGACTACTAAGGCTACTAAGCATGATGGCTATGTACTACCTTCAATATCAAAAGTAGCATATTTCAAATAACAGTTGCTGGAACCCGCAGTAAGCCAGAGTGTTGCTGTGGCGTGATCCCGATTGTGTGCTTCCTATAGTCATTGGGCTGGCCAGTGTTAGGACAGGATCCTCGACTAGGGATGAACCAATCTATCAATTTCACTTGCTGTCAATTTCTTATTTTTCTAATTCATTTATTTATCTACAGCAACTTCCTCTAAGAAGCTCAAGGTAATGTACATGGTTTTCCCTTCCCTATTTTATCCTCAGAAGATTCCTGTGAGGTAGGTTAAGCTGAGGGAAAGTGCCTGGTCTAGGATCCCCCAGTGAGTTTGTGGCTGAGTGAAGATTCGAACCCTAGCCTTCCGGATCCTTGTCTGGCACTCAAATCACATTCAGCTCCCCACATTTCCACAATCAATGAGTAGTAGTGAATCTGGATCCTCACCCGTGGGTTGATGTGATCTGTTCCAAGGAGTAGACTTGAAGGTGTCTTTCTTTGTAAAATGTATTTAATTTCTTCCTGCTATGGCCATACTTTTTCTTCTTCCCTTTCCTTTCCAAAGCAACTTTTACTATTCTGTCCTGTTTTTAAGGCATATTTTCTCCACCTCTCCCACTAAAGAAGAGCTTATTCACCTTCTTAGCACTTTCCCTGCACTTTGACATCATGCCCAACATTTTCATCTGGAAATTTCTTCCCTTTGCAAATCCCTGCTCTGTTTCCCTACCCTCACACGCACAGAGGGAGGGAGGGAGGGAGGGAGAGAGAGAGAAAGAGAGAGAGAGAGAGAGAGAGAGATCCACATTTTGTGTGTATTGCTGAAATGCAGCTTCCATGTTAGAATGGGATATTTCATTATTTTTCTACATGACATAATTTATCTGTATGACATCACAATAAATAATCTCTTGACTTTACTCTCCCCTACTTTCTCTTGGTAACCCACAGTCCTTGCTCTCTATGATGCTGATCTACACTGCTAACTCCCTTTCCCTCTCACGAAGCAAGTTTTCTTCAGATGTTCCCCATCTTACCTGCAGAAAGTGGGGCCAAGAGGAGGCATGCACTCAGGAGTGCCTTCAGCATTCTAGAAAGATTAGGAGACTCAGAGCAGAGATGGATCAACAAGGGAATTGATGCAGGTAGAGGCTTACTTGGAGGAATTTATAGGCCATGGACTTGTGTCACAGGGAACACTTGGGAACAAAAGTGAGGTCCGGGAATGGGAGTTGTTTGTTCACTACAAAGATAAAGAGGGAGATACTGAAATGCAAAGCTCATTAGTTACGATCTCATTAGTTTGCTGATTGATGTTTCTGATTACTTTTTTTGATATAGATAATTTACAATTTAAATGGTGAAGGCACTCAAGAAAGCAGTTGAGAGCCAAACAGACAAAGAGTGACTGGGGTGACCCAGTTAGATGAGTGTCACACCCCAACGAAAATTAAACTGGACTTAACCATCCAGGTGTTATTTATCTTTACCTTTACTTGATACCCAAAGCTCACCTAACAAGAAGTACTCAGTACTTTGCTACTGAGACAATCTGTGATGGGTGCTGTCAAGCGGGCGAAGTTCTTGATGAACTTCCTGTAGAAGTTGCTGAACCCTAGGAACCTCTGCACGTCCTTCCGGGTTTTGGGAGCCTTCCACTCCAGCACTGCCTGCACGTTGCTTGGGTCCATCGCTAAGCCTTTGTCTGACAACTTGTACCCCAGAAACTTGACTTCTCTGGCGTGAAACTGACATTTTTCCAGCTTGACCCACAACTGGTGCTTCTGCAGTCGTTTTAGCACTTCCCTGACGTCTCTGACATGTTGCTCCTCATTGTCCGAATAGATTAAGACGTCATCCAAGAAGGCTACGCAGTTCTTGTACAGCAGGGACCCCAACACGTGGTGCATGAAAGCTTGAAAACAGGCGGAGCCCGACTGTAATCCAAAAGGCATAACTAGGTACTCAAAGGCCCCCAGGGGTGTGAACATTGTGGTCTTCCATTCGTCCCCCTCCCTCATCCTAATCAAGTTGTATGCTCCCCTGAGATCAAGCTTGGTAAAAAATTTCCCCTGCCTCACCCGTGTTAAAATGTCGTCAATCCTGGGCATTGGGAAGGTCACTGGTTCCAATACCAAATTGACGGCCCTATAGTCCACAACTAGTCTGGGTTGATTAGTGTCCTTTTTGTCCACAAAGAACACCGGACTGCCCCCTACCGCTTTTGATTCTCTTATGAAGCCTCTTTTCAGGTTCTTGTCAATAAATTCCCGCAACTCCTTCATCTCCCTGTCCGACATGGCATACAGTTTACCCACCGGTAGCTGCGCCCCAGGGAGCAAGTTGATTTGGCAGTCAAAGGGCCTATGGGGGGGTAGTCTATCTGCCTCCTTCTCGCTGAAGACCTCCTGCAGGTCAGCATATTGTGGTGGCACCTCCCCTTTCAGCTCAGCTATCTCAGCCACCCTGGCCACGGTCATTCTTGGGGTTTCCCCCCCTAGACAGTGTTCCAAGCAATAAGCGGACCCAAAGGTGACCGTTCTCTGATGCCATGCCACCACTGGATCATGTTGTGCTAGCCAGCTCATCCCTAATATTATTGGGGCCCTGCCAGTGAGGCTACGTGAAAGGCGATGGTCTCCGTGTGCCTGGAAACCCTCATTCTCATTGGTGGGGTCTGGTGCGTCACTTCTCCTCCCAGAAGCTCCCTGCCATCAATGGTGGTTACTTGCAAGGGGAAATCCAGGGGCAGCAGGTGGAGCTGGTGCTCTAGTGCAAAGTCCTTGCTGAAGAAATTGCAGGAACTGCCTGAATCCAACAGCCCTTTCACCTTGACTGGGTGCCCATTCGGGAGTTCTAGCACCACTTCTATGGCTATAGCTGCCCTGGGGGGTCTGGTTTGGGCACTTCCATCGGTTGCTGGCCTGGCTGCTGTGCCCGCTGAGTGGCAGCCAAGCGTTGGCGTTTCCCTGCTCCTGCCCTTTTACCATCTCCTCCTCACCCCCTGCAGCTCCCACCATCCTTTGCCAGGCCTTTCTTTGCGGGCAGACCCTGGCAAAATGTCCTGGCCGCTGGCAGAGGAAACACTTCTTGGTGGTTTTCCCATCCTTTCCCTCCCTCTTGCGACCTTCACTGGAGTTTGAAACCTCCCGCGCGCGCGCCCCATCTATTTCCATTGGCTCCGCCGGCGGGGAAGGTTGCCTTGGTATTTCAGGAATGTGGTAGTCATGGTAACGTTGCTCTCTCCCTTCCCGCTTCTCCTGGGCCCGCGTTTCCTGCCTTACACCAATCGCAAGCACAGCCTTGGTCAGCTGATCCATTGACTGCAGGCGGGGTGCACGGGAAAGTTCGTCCTTCACCGTTGGGGACAACCGCTCCTCGAACAGCATTTGAATGGGTTCAGAGTCCAATTCCCATCCGAGCCGGTGGACTAACATGGCAAAGCGTGACCAGTAGTCTCTAACTGACTGGTTCCCCTGTTTGCATTCCATCAGTTCCCGCCGAGTCACACTTTGCTGTACATCACTGGAATACATCGCATCCATCGCCTGGAAGAATTTCCTCAGGTCTTTCAAGGCGGCATTCTGCGTTGCCATTAGGGGCCTGATCCATTCTCTGGCCCCATCCTGCAGATGTCCGACAATATAGGCAACCCTCTCCCCATCGTCTGCAAAATCATTCTGTTGCAGTTCCAACGCGTACTTTATTTCCGTTCGGAACGCACTGTAGTCCTGGGGTTTCCCTCCAAATTTGTGTACCAGTCCCGGTACCTTCCTTGCTATGGGGGTGGGTCTGACCTGAGCATCCTGAACCTGCCTTTCGTCCAGCCGTGCCGTCAGAAGAGCCACATGCTGTTCCAAATCTCGGTTCCTCTCCACCAGATTTTGCACTCCAGCTGCTCCCTCCGTGGCGCCAGCTTCTCCGGTTTTGCTCATGATGCTGCCTGCCTGTCGCCGTGCACGAGCGACGTCAGGGACTGACGGATTGCTGTAATGAGTATGGGTTGCTCGTGCTTAAGTTGCCGCCTCTCCTGGCTATGTTGCCTTGTTTAAACCTTTCTGTCTGGACAGCGCTTCACTTCGTGGCTGCCTCAGTCGCTAGCAGAATCCGTCAGTGGGCATTTCTTAAGCCTTTTCCAACATAAAAGTTGTTTGACGCCAAGTCTCCTCCTACTCTCCCTGCGCGGAAGCCTTCTGCGCAGGGAGGGTGTGGGTAGTGGAGGACCCGTGCTCTCCCCGCTGGTGACCAGTGAAGAGTCCTGGAGCCCTCTCGCCGATTCCCCCATCTGCCCCCCTTTATCTCTGGTGTTGCACTGATTTGCTTCCCCATCTGCTGAGCTGCCTCTCTGCCTGCTGGGCCCTTCTCCAGCATCATTTGAGAGCCTCCCCTCCGCCTCTAGCTCCGATGTCAGTTCCCTGACACATACATAGTCTTTTCTCACCTGCTTTCAGACATTATT